AGAAGATCCATAAAAAGATAGATTTATTAGGTAGCCAATCACATCTAGTAATAAAATATTGGTAGGGACTACTCTTGGTAAGTTTAACTATGTTTTTTATTTGAGTTTTTTTTTTCACTTTTCATTTTTTCTTCTTTCTTTTCTTTTTTTTCATTTTTTTTGTTTTTTTTTTTCTTAAGCATAATATTTCCTTATAGCATCAGAATTTATGGGATTAGGCAAATCATTCCCATCCATTTCTGCTAATATTAATGCTCCGCTCGAGAAAACTTTTTTCACTACATATGACCTTTCCCAATTCAAAATCTACTTTATTCTATTATGTCCTAGCTTGGAAGAATTATTTTTAAGACTAACTCTCCATCTCGAAAACAACAATGTCAAATTTTTTTATTAGGAGCTCTCATCATTCTTATATGATATAGCTAACTATGACACAGTGCTGTCAATCTCTTTTTTTCAATGAAATTTAACTGCTTATAGCACTCTTGACTTATAAATATCTGTAAATCTATAGCTAGACTTAATAAAAGGAGTTGCAATTAATTTTTTATTAAGGTGTGATTAGCTATTTAATGAATCTATTCTTTTAAAGAGCTTCTAAGTTTGACTAAGGGTCTTTAAAAAATTTTTTTCGGTATACTAATCAAAACATGGTTCAGGAGTTTAGTTACATATAGGAAAGGTTATAGCACCTCCACATGTCCATCCAAATGATGGTACCATTTTATTTTAAATTATCCTAAGATTTTAATTTTAATGGTCTTAAATTTAATATTAAAAATAATTCTTAAGATTTCTCTATCTATTTGAAAGAATTCTTAATAATACTTCCTTACCTTAAGTGTATTCAAGAATCCTATTTATTTTCTTGAAGAGGATTCGTTGTCGAAAAAAAGTTTAATACATTTTTTTATTTTGGTTTTTTATTGAAAATATATCTAATTATTTCATAATTTGGGCCAAATTCAAAATATCTTTTCACCTATAAATTTCTTAGATAATCATCTATTTGTGGTTACTAAAAATTGCATCATTGGAATTTATTTTTTTATTTTACAAGTTTTATTTCTAAATTTTTTACCATTTCAGTAAATTTAGAATTTTTTTTTATTTCTAAATTTTTCACCATTCAAATCTATTTAGAAATTCTTTTTTTTTTTTTATCTTTAGAAAAAAATAATATGATAATTAGTTTTGAAGTTTCATATAAATTCTTTCACCATTTGGGATAAATTTAAAGAAATTTCTCACCCAGAGATTTTTTTAAGAAATTTATCATTTGAAATTTTTAAGAATCTCATCATTGGATAATTAGTATTTAAATTCCAAAAACTTTATTAAAATTGTGTTTTTTAATTGAAAATAAAATATTAACTATTATTACTGAAATTTTATTTAAATTATTTCACAATTTGGAACAAATTTAAAAAATTTTCTCACCTAAGAATTTTATAAAAATTTACCATTTGAAATTTATGAAAATTCCATCATTGGATAATTAATATTTATTCCCAAAATTTTTTATTTTGTAAAAAAAATTTCTAATTTTTTTCCAAAATTTAATCATGCTAAAATACTTTTAAAATAAATAAATTAATTAAATAAAAATACCAACAATGGGAACGGTTCGGCTCGACGACTGAGGTGTGACTTGGCTACGAAGATGGACAACGGTTGGAACGGTTCACTTCATGGCTTGGCTCGGCTCAGCTCGTCTTGAGCTAATGATAAGGACGCAAGTCAAAGGTGGGTCAATGCTACAAGTCAGGTCACCCAGGCGATAAAACGCATAGATTTTGGTAGATCTAAATGACAAAATAACATTGTTTACTAGCAGTATAAAAGATCAAATTCTTTTTTTTTTCTCAGATTTTTCTTTTCTCTCCCTCTCTCTTTAAAACCTAAGAATACGGGTTGAATCTTCACCAAATTCTAAAATTTCATGTTGGAATCTGGGTTGAGTCACCGAAAGTTCATTGATTTCTAAACAACACCGAAAACTGGAAAGCTTGCCAGAAACTAGGATTGTTGCCAGAAAGATGCCGAAGTCTTTAAAGATTGCCAAAAAATTCAATCGAATTTTGAAAAACTCACCGGAATCTAAAAATTTCATATTTTTCAGAAAAAAATTTTTTATATTTCTATTTCTGATTTTGTTAATCTCTATACCTTCTACTGTATATTTTTTTTTGCCTATCTCCATTTGTGTGTTTACTGATTTGTCTGCTAATCTCTCTATGTTTTTACTGTTTGATATGTGTATGTATTTATAGGGTTTTGATCCAAAAAACCCTAATAGGGTTTTAATTTCCTTCAAACTCCAGTTTCAAACTTTAAATCCAACCTAAACCTATACAAACAATTTCATTCAAATTCAACCACATGATTTCTTTTTCATTTTTTCATTTTTTTATTATTTTTTATTAACAAAAACAAATAGAACCCTAGATAGATTTGGGTGTCTACAATTGCTCCTTTTTACTCATTTCTTATGAAATAAGAATTGTGTAAAAATGTAGACAACCAATCAAGAACCAACTTGACACCCTTTTTTTTAAGCATACTCAGGCTTTTTGAATAATATATAAACTACTCTAAATAGAGGCTCAATGACTTTTGAGAAATAAATAAAACTCCTCTAAGCAGAAGTTCAACGAATAAATAAGGCTCATCTAAATAGAGGCTCAATGACTTTGAAAAATAAATAAGACTCTTCTAAATAGAGACTCAACAATTTTTAAAAAATAAATAAAATTCCTTTAAACAGAAGCTCAATGACTTTGAAAAATAACATATCATTCTCAATAGAGTCATCAAACTATCATAACATATATATTTACTAATCTATATGTTATGACATAGGTTGCAACCTATTTTATACCAAAATTATTTCCTTGTTTTCTCTGCTCCTTCCTTAAGAAATGCTAGAATGTCTAAAACTTTGGATTTAAGTTTGAATTATGTCCAACTTAGTCATAAAATATAAATATCTTTAAAGTTTGAAATAATTACTTAAATTGTTACTATTTTGGGAGCATCATTTCAAAATTGATTTTTAAGTATAAAGCATTATCCCATCCTCTCCAATATATCATTAAATGATTCTACAACAAAGATTTATAAGTACATCCACCTTAACAATTCATATGAAATTATGGATTCTTAATTTTTTTAGCTTTTTTTACGATTTTTTAAAAAAATATTTATATATTTAATATATTATTTTCATCAAATTCATAAACCTACAATGCATCTACTCCATTTGCCCATTTTCTTTTTTCTTTTTTAATGTTCCAAAATTATGTCCTTTTTTTTAGCATCTAAACCTCCTACTTTTTTAAAATTTTAAATTATTTTTATTTTTATTTTTTACTTTTTGACATTAAAAATTATGAAATTTTATTTTTTAAAAACATTTTAATTTTAATATTAAATATTTAAAAATTAAAAACTTTTTTTATACTCCATAAAAATCAATACTATTCAATCAATTTAGAATAAAAGGAATATTATATATTTTTAATAAATAGTATTGATACATATATTAGCATCTATTAATGTTTCTTTGATTCTTAATATACAGTCCATAAATAAAGTGAGTTTATAAAAAAAAAAATTGAAGACAATGTGTTTAAAATCAAAATAGGAATCACATTTTTCTTTTTAGCATCAAATGATTTTTGAGTTTTATTTAATACATTTCCTTTGAATCAGTATAAATAAATTTATTCAAACCTAATAAATTTATAAAAAATTATCTTCTCACATCTTTTTGATAAATTCAAACTTAAATAACAAAAAAATTTATATTCTTTTTACCACTTAAATTATCTATCCATCAATAAAATCAGAAATATTTCAATCTTATTAAATCTGAAAAATCTTTAAAGATTTTTTTTTTTATGGTTCTATCTTTATGTCTTGAAAAAGTACAAACATTTAATGTATAGCATTTTTCCATGAATTTGTGAAATTCAAATCCTCAATAAATTACAACACATTGAAAAAAGCCATTTTAATTTGTTTATCAATGATAGTACCTAAACTTTATGGCTCAAACTCGAGATCTTGTCTGATAAAAAACGTGTGTCAAGAAAAGTTTACATTCTTCCTTTTTTTTTTTTATTATTCTATAATGTGATAATGAATATATCTGTATATTTTATTTGAGTCAATTATTTTTGCATGATTTTCAAAATGTCCTTTTCGGCATTGGTTTCTTACTTGGAGATATTAATCTCTAAAACTTTTAAAGTTTTTAAATTTCTTCTTAAAATTTCTAAAAGAATTTGTTCTAAAAAAAAAGGGCAAATGTTACTTATTGCCTTGAAGAAAACTTTAAGAGGTAATACATTTTTTTTTTTTTGATATTTTCTTTCTCTTCTGGCGTTTGTTATAACTGGATGTGGAAAAATAAATGAAACCCAAACTCTTCAAAAAGAATACCATAACTAAATAAGTATTCCCTCAATCTTAATTAAATTGTCACATTTTGATATTTAATTAAAAATTTAAACTTTAATCTAATATTATTTTATATTTATTATTGAAAAAATATAAAAAAATATTTTAAAAATTTTAAATGAAATAGTGTTTGAATATATATTTTATAAAGTTTAATTAATTAAAATATGCAAAATAATAACTATTAAAATTAGAAAAATTTTAAAAATTAACTGAAACAATTTAATTAAAACAAAAAAATATTTAAGAAAATATGTTTAAAATTATTTTTAATAAAAATTAATATAATATTTATCAAGATACATTAAATATAAATTCTTAAAAAAAACTTTTTTTTTTTTCACAAATTTTTACACTAAAACCCACTCTCCCAAAAGTTTCCAAAAAGTAACTCAAAATAAAAAGAGCAAAAGCTGCATCAACACCCACGCGTGCTAAAATGCGCGTGGAATCCGCTTATTTCATCTACTTTTTCTCCCATTCATAAACTCAACCTCCTCTAATCTATACCGTCCAATTTCCATCAACCCAAATTCTTCACCCCGAGAAACACACTAACATTCCCTCACTTCCGAACCTAACTCTAAACCTTTCCTTCGCTACGAACCTAAAATTTTCCTTTACTCCCTTTAAAAAAAAAAAAAAACAATTTCCTTTTTTAAAAATTAATTTTTATTTTTTTTTGACACTGATTCGAACTTCGATCCCTTTATCTTCGCTTCCGTGTCTGAAAAATCCAATTCTAGAGAGAGAAGCAAAAGAAAAGAAAGAAATGATTTTTAGAGAGAGAGGGAGTGTTTGCACCGTCGTTTTAAGTTAAAACTATCCCGTCGTTTTGAAATTTTCTCCTTCTCTCTCTAATTAAGCTTAGCTTCGTTAGTTACAGTTAATTTTTTAATTTAAAAAAAAAGGACTTGCCGTTTCTTAGCTTTTCTTGAAGAACCCTAAAGAAAGGCTCTTTGGCTTTGGGTTCAGATCAAAAGCTTATGTTGCTCTTGCTCCCTTTTTTTATCTGAAGCATTTGTTTTCTTTTTTGGTAATTTTTTAAAAATTTATCAGCTTTTCTTTTTGTTGTTAATTTAGCTTGAAGTTTACTAATTAATGGTTTTTTTTTTTGCTTCTTAATTATGTTGAAATCAGCTTAAATTGTATATATTTGTGTGTATATTTAGATTTTTTAGGGTTTTTTTTAGTGTGGAAATTTGGGGTTTAGCTCACTATGGGAAATTGGGGTGTGCCCTGAATTTGGTTATTTTCTGTATGCATTTAGTTGATTTGGGTCAATATTAGTTTAAATTTTTGTTGAATTTAAGTTTTAGGTTGTTTAAAATTTTCATTTTCTTTTTGTGTTTTTTTTTTTTGTTTGTTTCTTGGAAAAGGTGTTGAATTTGTGGGGAATTCACAAAATATTAACAAATTTTATGGTTTGTTTTTTCTTCGTTTGGTTGCTAAGAAAGTCGGTGGAAACTGAAAGTTTTCAACTTTTTAATTTTAGTTGGCATTTGATTTCTTCTGCCATGTTTGTTTTTGGTTTTGTTTTTGTTTTTTTTTTTTTTTTGCATGATATTTTTGCATAATTACATTACATGCTGTGTACTTCTACTATGCTTTTATTTTTCAAAATCAAAATGTCTATCATCGAAGAAAATAAGAAGGCAGTAAAGCAGCTTAAAATGAAGTTAATTAGTGTCTTTTCTTCGTCATTATCGGGGTTTTTTTTTCTTCTTCTTATTTGCCTAATAATGTCATGGTGTAGGATGATATCTTGAAGAGTGGAGTAGTGGGAATTTGGAGAGTACTTCGGGAGATGTCCTGTAGAAAAAGCTGTTTTTGAGCTGTGATGATCTTATTTATGGATATGCTTATATTTTGCAAAAGCATATAGCTACAAAATAGTGGTGGGAGGATTTTAATGCCAGGTAACGAAGTTGAAGATGGGATCCACAGTCTATTCGAGCTAGACAACTCTCTCCAGGGCCAGCATCTGCCACAAGCTACGGATGGAAGTTGGCTGGTGCTTAACTATAATCAGTTGGTTGGAAAGCTGAGACAGATTGGGGCACCCCAGCATTTCAGTTTGAAAAGCTACAGCTTGCAACAATTAGGTATCAATGTTCTCACTATTAATTCTAATTTTTCTGCTTGTTTTTATTTTTTTTATTTTTGCTTGCTTTGGTGAAAATTTGTTCTGCTTAGTGAAGATTAAAGAATAGTCCCTAACATGAATGAGAAAATATATGGAAAAAAACAATTCTTATTTATAATTATTTGGAATACCCATTTTGTTTGATTAAACTATGTTCAATATTTGCTTGTTATTCGCAGATTCTGTAGGAGGACATGGTGGTGAAGCTTTAAATCAGAACAGTAGACAATTGTCTCCAACACTTGAGTATTCCCAGCTTCTTTCCAGCAACCATCAACAGAATACAAATGGCTTCTTCCTTGAGTGTCAGGGTTTTGGGATGCAACACAATCAACAAGGGTTTTTGGGTGAAAATACAGGTTATGATCAGCATAATTTGATTTCCAGAGGCTCTTCTATCTTTAAATCACATAAAGAAAATGAGTCTTGTGAGAGTCCCACCCTGACAACAAATTCGGAAAGATCGGAAATTACTGAAGCTTCTACTGATTTAAACTTTGTTAAAGGGCAAAAACAACTTTTGCACATCCCACAACTGGGTTTTCAGCAACCTCTCCCCATGCAGCAGTCTGGCTATAATGATATGCAGTTGTTGCAGCAGCACATAATGATCAAGCAGCTGCAAGATCTTCAGAGACAGCAGCAACTTCAACAGTTCGGTGATATGAGGCAGCAGAATACTTTAAACCAACTTTCTGCTATCGCCAAACAGTCTGCTGCAGGTCAGTTCGCATCTCTCATTAATGGAACACCTGTTCATGAAGCATCACAGATGTTTATGAACATTGTACAGCAAGGTACATCTTCTACTACTACAGGAGTATCTAACAGAGTTGTTTTCCCGCAAGATCAAGGTCAGGCTTTCTGTTCAATGGGCCTAAGTTCTCAGCAGCCTGGTGCATCTTTATACGGGACTCCTGTTGCTAGTGCAAGAAGTAATACGACTCAATATTCTCAACAAGGAATCTCTAATGACACCACTAATTTGTTGACTAAAGCTGGTGGTCAAGCACAGAAGCCTACTATGCAGTCATCAGGTGGATTCTTGAGAGATCAATACACTGTTTCACCAGATCAGGTCTACATGTCACAAGGTACATTAATATCCAACCCAGGATTTCAGGGGAAAGATATGTTTGGTCCAGCTTCTGTCCAGAGCATAAATAGTGGGAATATATCTGGAAGCTTCCAGGCTGGGAATGCCACACAAATCAATGCATCTGCCAAGGACTTCAATGGAAGGCAAGAGCAGGCTGGTTGGCCTGCAATGCAGCAGAAAACTACACAAAGTGGTCCCTCTCAGGGATTGGTTCCTTTAGACCCAATGGAAGAGAAAATATTATATAATATGGATGACAATTTCTGGGATCCCTCCTCAGGCAGGCGCACTGATTTAGGTGCAGGAAGTTTCAGCAATGCATTGGAGAACTCAGATTTTTCAAATGCATTTCCATCTATTCAGAGTGGGAGCTGGAGTGCTCTAATGCAGTCTGCTGTGGCTGAGGCTTCTAGCAGTGATACTGGGCTACAAGAGGAGTGGAGTGGACTGACATTTCAGAATACTGAACAGTCAACTGATAATCAGCTTTCAAACTTTGTCGACAGTGATAAGCAACAGGCAGGTTGGATTGATGGCAACCTACAGAGTGCCTCCTCCTTTAGTTCAAAGCCCATGCCCATGTTCAATGATTTTGGTGTAAGCTCTAGCTTCCCTGGTTTTCAGCAGCCTGGCACCCAATTTTCAACTGAACAGGAAGAGTATCTACCCCATAATGTATCGCGTGGGTCTTCTGGAAAGAAGTCCCTCAAAGTCACTTCCGACTGGGTAGATTGTGGTAATCAACAGAAGCAATCCTTTGAGGGAGGTGAACAAGCACAGTCATATATGCATTTAAATAATGCTTGGGCAGGTCAGATTTACGAGCACCCTGACAGTGGTGTTCATCCGCAAAGGACTAGCTCACATGAAAATTTTGTCCAACCTTATATTAAACATAAAGGTAGTAACCCCCTTCACCTCAAGGAAATCTTGCTGCATTTATTCTCATATTAACAAGGGGCTGGATATTGGTTGCAGGTAGTGCTAGTGATGGTTTTTGTCGAAGTCATCAACTGGAGGAGTGGAGCAAGTACAATCTGGTGCTAATAATAATTTATTCAGCAGAAAAGATTTACAGATAAATAATAACCAGTCATCTGGTCAACGAGTCATAGATAATAATAGATCCGATTACCTGAGACATGCTGATATCTCTGCCATCAAGGAAAGTGAGAGTACAAGGCAAAAACAGCATCAGATAAGCAATGGGCCTTATGGTTTTGCTAGCACTTTAGAGGGAGAAGGTGAAATATATGTAACTAAGCAAAAGAGTTACCAAAGGCAGGCTTCAAGTGACAGCTATAATTCAAAAGGATTGAGTGGTCGTGACCAAGGACATTCTGGTCAGGTCAAGTTTCTTGGTGATGTGTCTAGTGGCAGTGCAAACTTCAATGAGGTAAATAAAGGTGTTCTTTAAATCGAATGGCATTTTTCATTGAAGTTCTTGATTATTTATATGATTTGTCCTTTTCAGGTGCACTCACCTTTAGATGAGGTGACTTCTGGGGATGATATCAAATCAGTTGGCCCTGATGGATCAATAACTGCTGCTCAGACAAGGTGTTTACTTGTATAAGCTTTTATTAACTGGCTTAGTTCATTTGTTGTTTAAACATACAAATTGGTTGCTATTAAAATGTAGGGATATTTATGTTTGTCATAATTGTGCTTTTGTTCGTTGGCAGAATCTATTACTGAATATTTTTCTTGTGTAAGCTTAAAGCTTGTTATCTTATTTTGTGCTTAAAGTTCTACAATGCAATGTTGAAATATGATTGACTGAACTTATGCAGTCAAAATATGCTTGAGCTACTTCACAAGGTTAACCTTCCAAGGGAGGTTGGTGCTATGTCACATTCTGGCTCTATAGACTCTAATGCATTGGCCAAAGTTCCGGAGGCAGGAGCTCATATATCTCTTGCTCAACTATACAATCCATCTTCTACTTCTCAAGGGTTTAGTTTAAGGTTGCCCCTTCCATCACAACAGCTGTCAAATTCAAATCTTTTGCTCAATTCTCAGGGTTCACCACAGGCTTTAAGTTATCTAAAATCAGGGCAGGTCAGTCAGACATGGGCAGCTTCCCCATATTCCGTTCAATCTTTTCCGCTGGCAGATGAGTTGTCTCAAAGAGTACTATTGGCTGATAAATCAAGTATGTCCGGACAGACATGCATTTCATCGTACTCAAACATGCAGGGGAGTGCTTTTGCAGCCTTTGCATCCAGTCTTCCACATCTGGTAAATCAAACACAACTGCAACACACGCCTAATTCACCTGTAGCATCTCCATCAATACAGGCGACACTTTCAAGTACAAGCAGGAATCCCCCTTTTAACCTTGCCGCCTCTCAAGATACGTCTCAACAGATTTCTGCCAATCATTTTAGTCAACACTTTCCAGTTTTGGAGGCTTCACAGGTATCTCAGCCTTCTATCATGTCAGGAATGTCAAGGCAGGGTGAATTTTCAGCAATGCAAAATGCATGGACAACTGCACCAACTCAGCAGAATCTTTCTGTTTTAGAACCTCTCAAGGTTCCTGCCAGCTTGCCACCCTCCACGGATCCCACAGATAGGAGTATAAACTCCAGTAAAGGTGGTTATGGGGAGATGCAGGCAGGAAAAGAGAGGTCTCTGCAGCAAATGTCTTCTGATAGGACAGTTTCTTCCCTGCCTACTAGCTTCTGTCAAGGAGAACCATCACAAAAGCATTGCTTAAATGCAAGTTCTCTCCCTTCTTCCTCATCAATGTCTCATTCTAACCAGGGGGTCCTTGATGGGATGAAACATGATAATAACCAAGCCGCTATGACTTCTGAAAGAAAGATTGCACCTGGTGCCCATTCTTTGAAACCATCTAATTGTCTCCTGCAAAATTACTCCCTGATGCACCAAATACAAGCAATGAATACTGCTAAGACTGATCCAAGTAAGAGTACCCATGAGGCTCAGCAGGTTGCTTCTGTGGTGGGACAGCAGTTGCATGAAAATAATTCAAGTTTGAGAAACTCTATGGATAGTGGACCAAGTTTAGCACCAGCGGAGAATAACAAAATTTCAAGCTTCTTCGCAGGTTCAAGAGAAGATCCAACCGTAAAAGCTTTGGCGCAGACTGCTCTCCGAAATATGCCTTCGCATGACATGGTCAGATTTGGTCAAAATATTTCTCAGAGCCAATCTACTAGCAGCTCTTATGTAACTAATCATATGAACAATGGCCAGGGTAATCTACATATGGCACCCTCTTGGTTTAAGCAGTATGGGTCCTTCAGAAATGGGCAGATGCTTTCAATGTCTGATGCCAGGATTACAAAATCTGTCTCTGAACGTTTCTCCCTCTTGAAACCTTCTCAAAATCTGCATCTTCAAGCCTCTGTTGGACAAATAGATGCTGTGGAGGCTAGTCAAGCTGCTGTTTCGAGGCCAAGCTCAGCTACCACCTTGGTGGAAAATGAACTCTTTTCAGCTCCATATGTGTTGCCGGCAAGTATCAACAATCAAAATATTGTTACTACAAGACCAAAGAAGCGCAAAGCTATGACATCTGAGCTTCTGCCATGGTGGAAAGAAGTGTCACTAGGTTCCCAAAAACCTCAAAATATCAGGTCATTACAATTATTGCTTTTTTTTTTTTTAATAATTCTAGTTTCCTTGATTATTTATAGTTCATAGTCACTGTCGATATTGGCTCCAGAGATTGGAAAATTTTAATTTATATTCCATTGGTGTTTTTGTTCTCTCCCTCTCTTTTTCTTGGTTTGTGTGAATTATTGATTCCTTGTTTATTCACTGAAGTTAATTTTAAGTTGTATTTGTTTCCACAGTCTATCAGAACAAGAGTGGGCTGAGGCCACAAATCGTTTCTGTGAGAAGGTGTGTGCTCCTAGATTGATAATAATGGAATTTAGTTTCTTTCCAAATGTAGTCCATGTGTTGAATCTAAAATTGATTCTAACATTGCATTGCTAATGGCAGGTGGAAGGTGACATTGAAATACTTGAAAATGTGCATCCAATGCTTCGATCAAAGAGGAGGCTTGTCTTGACAACACAGCTTATGCAGCTATTGCTTCATCCTGCACCAGCTTCGATTATCAGAGAAGATGCCAGCTCAAACAATGATAGTATATCATACTTTGTTTCTAGAGTAGCTCTAGGTGATGCATGCAGCCTTTCCTATGGTGTAAGAAATAATATGCATCTCTCCTCTGACGACAGTGACATGTGAGTACTGCTTTAGGATTTGTGAATTTATTCGGAGGCTAAAATAAGAAATCTTTTTGCATGATGACTTAATGGTAATTTTAAGTAAACTTTGGCTACACATTAATTTTAATCTTGAGATGGTATTTTCATAAAATTTCTGGCCTTATCTTTAAAGAATTATATTTTTTCAGGATCTCTGAGAAGCTGAAAACTTTTGAGAAAACTGGTAACCAGAAAATTGTGGAAGTCCTGGAAGGTTTTACTGATAGAGCTAAGAAACTAGAAAACAACTTCCAAAGGTACGTATACATTTGATGAAATTCTGCATTTTTGGCAACCCTCCTTGTTCTTGTGATGTAGAAATGCACCGGTTGAGTTACACAGATAGAAATTATAGCTGCATTTATACCCATATGTTTCGCTGTGAATTTGATCACAATCGAATCGACCAAACCTTGTCATTCCAACTCCAGAGGAGAATGTTCCTTATAGCTGACAAATCGAACTCTATAATATTATATAATTGAATTGACCAAACCTTGTCATTCCAATTCCAAAGGAGAATGTTCCTTACAGCTAATAAATCGAACTTGTGTCCTATTCTATTGTTTCGCTTGCTTCCTTACGGCATCATTTGCTGTATGGTAATATAATATCAAATTCTGTGCATCAATAAATGATAATGTGGCCTTCATAGTTAATAATCCAGTCTCCTAAAAGAAAAGGAGTGCCTTTTAATAGGAATTATTGCTTTTATTTTCTAGATACCCTTCTGCACAATTGGTTCTTTTATTTATTTGATGGCAAAATTGATCTACAATTTCATGATGTTCTATTATTCTTTGTGTGAATACTATTTCTTTATGCAGATTTGACAAGAAAGTGTCAGTTCTAGACATCAGAGTGGAATGTCAGGAGCTGGAACGCTTTTCTGTCATCAACCGTTTTGCCAGATTTCATAACCGAGGACAAGGAGATACCTCTGGAGCTGCATCATCCTCTGCAATCCATAAACCAGTTCCCCAGAGATACGTCACAGCACTTCCAATGCCTAGGAATATACCAGAGGGGGTACAATGTTTTTCGCTGTGATCATGATTTAACTGATCCTCTCTCTAATAGAATCTTGTTTTCATCTATTCTCTTCATGCCATATCAACTCATCTCTCCATGATCTTTCTCTTCACTAACCTCAATGCTGGCAAGCAAGAAAGACGAGAATGCATGATGGAATGCTGGACAGGTCAACCTTGTAGTGAGGCCCTCAGTTATTTTGAGTTGAGGCCATTGCTGTCATTTTTGAGAAAGTAAATATTGTTTCTTGTATATTTTCATGAAAGTCCAAGGAGAATAGGAGTATTCTAAGTGTCTTTTGAAAAAGAACAAAGAGGATCATCAATATGAATGTCTTTTAACTTATTACATAAATAGTGGAATTTAGCATGCCTAAAACGTAGATAATATTTGTATCTTTGCCTTTGCTGGATTCTCTTCCCCGTCTTTTTTTTTTTTTCGCTCTTTCAGGTTTTTTTCTGCTATGAGTGGAAGGACGGAAGAATAGCATCTAGCAGAGCAGCAATTATTCAGTAAATGCAAAAATATTAATGGCAAGTACAAGTGGTTGGAATTTTATAATCTAAGGATATGTAACAGGGGCTTCCCACTTGAGATTTCCACCACTTAAATGGCCTTTGGAACGCAACTACAAGGTTAAATGCTTCTCTGACTTTGCACTTCATTAAAGATCACTTTTCGTCTGTCACGTGTGTTTGTGGTTACCTTGACTTGCGTTTTATTGGGGGAAAACAAAAGATGTACGTGAAAAGGATTTCAGAAACATCAGTTGACAACTTTATGAACTAAGGATTTGTTTTCTTTGAAAAGTACAAAGTTTCAGACACTGATTCTTCTGATTTTCCGCAGCCGAGATTGAGTAAACGACAAGAGAAGACTTTTTATGACAGCAAAAGCATGGTTGGTTTTTTTTGGCTTCTGATGTTGGGAGGATTCTGAGTACTTGGTTGTCTTTCATTCTCTCCTTTTAAAAAAAAATTGACTGAAAGCAGCACTGACACGTCAGTTGTTGTGGATTCTCTATTCGTTAATAACTAACTTCTATCAACCTTGTCAGTGTCAGTGTCAGGGTCAGTATCTGATCCAATTCATGGATGGAGAGTGATGTGGGAAAGATATCATGGAAAAGCTGAAAAATCCTCTGTTGAGAACAAGCAGAATAAATATAAAAAACTAGAAACAAAATCAATCAATTTCTTTTCTTTTCTTTTTTCTTTTTATATTAATAGTACCTGGTAATAATTCTTTGGTGGGGTTTGGTTTCACTAATCCATGGTTTTCTCATTGGTGGACAAGCAATTTGCTGATAAAATTGGTGGGAATGTCTTCTGTTTCCAACATGCAAACACTTAAACAATATAAACAAAATAATTATCCAGTAAAAAGGAAAGAAACAAATTATTTTCCACCATCATTTCCAGGTGTGTTTGCACCTTTTGTCTCGTATCAAATGGGCCCCAAAAAATACCCATTGTGTGGCACCCTTGGACCCTTGGCTTGTTGGGTTTTGATTTGATTATTCTTTCTTTTGGATATGGTATATATTTATGATGGTTCTTTCGGCTTGTACTTGGTTGTTGTGGTCCTACAAATAACCTTGATTTTGTTCCACGACTCTTTCTTTTAAACGCGCGTCCACAAAAATCCTAACCCTTCTAGGAAAAGGAAATTATTTTTTCTTTGCTAAAGCATTACCCTCTCTAATTACTACTCTTTGGAGAATTCAAGGCCAATGAAGCAACAGAAATCATTCACCCTGGAAACTGGTTTCTGTTTAGACTGTAAGAGAGAAACTGGAAGAATTCTCGATTCTAGGACTGGACACGCAATCTGTTCTGAGTGAGGCTTGGTTCTTGAATCCAATTATGTTGATGAAACTTTTGAATGGAGAACATTTGTTGCTTCCATGGATGATAAAGATCCTGAACGTGTTGGATCAAAAGTAAACCCTCTTCTTGAGCATGGAAACATGACAAGTTGGATCTTCAAGACTAAGGGTGCCCCTGCTGGTTCTTTTACTTCATTGAATGAATCAAACTTAGACAGGACCCTGGTTAAAGGCTTCGGGATCATTGGCGTTATCGCTGACAGGTTAGGCCTTTTTATAACTATTCAAGATAGCTTTTGAGATGTAGAAGAACGTGGAGGATAGTAAATCTTGTAAAGAAAAAAGCCTGAATGCTGTATAAGCAGCAAGCCTGTTTAATGGTTGTAGAGAGATTAGATCGTCCAGGACTCTGAAAGAGATTTCAACAGTTGCTAATGGAGCCTCAAAGAAAGAAATCAATAGGGCAATTGAAGTAATAAAGAAACGACTAGAGGTTGATATGGGGACTGTGCAGCCAGGAGAACTTGTCAGGCGCTTCTGTTCCACACTTGGCATGAACAATCAAGCCATCAAGGCTGTTCAAGAAGCTATTATTATGGTAGTACTAGATTTGGATATAAGGAGGAATCAGGAAAGTGAAATTGGTTTTGGCGGCCATTATTTACATGATAAATCGGGTTTCAGGTTGTGAGATAACTGTTCAAGGTATGAATTCCAAATTATTTCCATAGAAAAATTTTATGGATTTAATCAAATGTTATACTTCGTTTTTTGGCCAGAAATTGCGGTTGCAGTTGAGGTTGCAGAAGGTACAATTAAGAAATTCTATAAAGCTCTTGCTCCTTATGCTTTAAGGCTAGTGCCCCAATGGAATGATGAGAAAGTCAAGAAAAATTAAGAAAATGTGCAACTCTTAAAGATGTGGAGGCAAGAATCAATTGCTGATTTAGATTTTATTTTTCTTTTATACCACAGCCTTAGTAAAGAGGACAAAACATTGCCCCAGAATTAGATATGAATTGGACTTAGTCCATTTGGGATTTTGGGCTTCAAAGAGTCAGTGGATTGGCCTATTGACCCATTAGAAATGAATTGGGCTTAGTTCATTTGGGTTGAGTCCAAATCTTTGAAAAGGGTTACAGGCTTACAGCCTTTTAGCTGCCCTGTGCAAAGACATGCAAAAATGGGTAAGACTAAAATGATAAATGTCCAGATAATGGGTATTTCATGCAATTTTAAAGATGTCAATCTTGTAATTCTATAAATTTTCGGATACATGACTTTGGATTTTACTAAGAATGGGATAGTCTAAAATTAGTTAAGACTTAAGAGGAAGCATGAAAGAAAATGATTTTACTAATAAAGGAATTTATCCGAGTTCTATTACTTTTTTTTTTCTTTTTCAATTAAATACAAAGCAAAATACATTGTTCGTTCGTATAACTACCTTTAAAAAGTGATATCTAATGAGTTTGAGTTTAGATTTCAACATATGCAATCCTTTATCCTATCCTCAAGTTACGACCTTTTTTTTTTTTAAATATATAAATAGAGACAATAAACATAAATGAGATAATCTTAGAATAACATTAGTACAACTTGAGAATCGTTAACATAGATAAATGTCACATGGATTTACCAAGTGCCATGAATGAAATAGGAAAAAGAGGGCCAAATCTTAAAATAATTTTTTAACTGAACTTCCTCAAATAATTGGAGACTAAGAGAAATGTTGGTCTATGGTCCTTGGGCTTTAGGAGAATTTTCAAGTATAAAAAGTGTCCAAATTCCCATCTTTTGAAGAAACCTGTTATAGTTAAACACAGATTCTTAACTTAGCAAGATATCCATGTTTTTTTGGCAGCCATATGACCTGTGCTTAAGCTATGCGTTTCATTTTTACCAAAATTTGAGATTGTGAACTCCCAAACAATAAAGGAGAAAGGGGGTTGCTTTCAACCATAGGTCATATGCACTGAAAATCTAATTGTGTATTCTATGAAGATAAGTGAGTGCAGTATCAGCCTATCAGGTGCAACAAAAGAATCCAATGAATCCAAAAGATGAGCATCAATGGTTAAATGCAAACATACAGAGATGAATGATATGCTGAAATGATGCATGATTTTAAAATAGGAAGAAAGAAACGAGAGGAATAGTATTGATTCCAAGTTCAAGATTCCACTTACATTGAACAACATGAAGACAATTTCTATAGACTGTTTCCTCAAGTCAGTAGTAGAAGTTACATGGACGTTAAATTGATTTCAAAGATCAAACGCCAGTCTTGGAAGCAAAACAAGAAATAAGATGGACAATCCACATATTCTGGTGATTCATACCCGGCACAAGGCCATGTAATTCCTCTAATGGAGCTTTCACAAAGCTTAGTCAAACATGGCTTTAAAATTACATTTGTTAACATGCAGTTTAATCATAAAAATACCCTGGATAAATTGGCAATGAAAGAAGATGTGCGTGACAAGATTTGCCTTGTTTCGATTCCAGATGGACTTGGTTCACCAGAGGATAGGAAACAACCAGGGAAGATATCAGAAGCAATCTTGTAGATCATGCCAGGGAAAGTAGAGGAGCTTATAGACGAAATTAATGGATCAGAAATCAAGATAACTTGTGTCCTTGCAGATCAGAGCATATGTTGGGCCTTGGAAATTGCAGAGAAGCATGGAATCAAGCGAGCTGCCTTCTGTCCGGCTGCAGCTGCACTCTTGGTGTTAGGATTTAGCATCCCAAAAATGATAGAAGATGGAATTATTGATCAGGATGGTGAGACCCTACATCTCTAATTTTCGTATGTTCAATTTATAGCTTATTTCATTCGTAGATGTAGCTTTCCTACTTATTATTGTATCTGACAAAAACGACAGAATAGGAGCACCAACTGGACTGTCTAAAGGTATATAGTAGTAGGAAAGGTTAGATGATTCAGATGACATATAATACTAACTAATAAGAAATCAAAGCAAACTTTTATCTTGTAATCCTTTAATCATTTATGTTACCTTGAATTAAATTGTAAGAAAAGCAGGAGGAGGAAAGGCAGTCAAGAACTTGCTCGGCCATTATTAATATTTTCAGAGATTCTCTTTGCAGGAACTCCCACCAAGAGACAGATGATTAAGATGTCACCAAGAATGCCCCCACGAACACAATGAACTTTGTATGGGCTTGCATCGGCAACACTAATGCACAGAAAAACATTTTCCAACTCATGGTTAGAAACAATGAATCTATCTAGTTAACAGATTGGCTGCTTTGCAACTCAACATATGAACTTGAGCCTGCTGCATTTGCTAGGGCTTCAAAGATCAGACCTATAGGCCCACTGTTGGCACCAAACAGGCTTGGAGACTCAACTGGAAACTTAAGGCCAGAAGATTCAAGTTGTCTGAAATGGCTGAATCAACAGGCACCGCAAGCAATCATCTATGTTGCATTTGGCAGTTTCACCATTTTGGACACAACCCAGTTTCAAGAGGTGGCACTGGGGCTTGAACGTACAGGTAGGCCATTTCTTTAGGTCGTGCGTTCTGATATAACAGATGGAAAAAAATAATGCCTACCCAGAGGGGTTTCAAGAGAGAGTAGCTGCTAGGGGGAAAATGGTCGGTTGGGCACCTCAGCAAAAGGTTCTTTCTTATCCTTCCATTGCTTGCTTTATAAGCCTTTGTGGTTGGAACTCAACAATTGAAGGTGTAAGCAATGGGATCTCTTTCTTGTGCTGGCCTTACTTTGCTGACCAGTTCTTCAACCAAAGCTATATTTGTGACTATTGGGGTTCAACAGAGATGGAAAGGGGATCATTACAAGAGAAGAAATTACGAATAAGAAAGAGCAACAGTCAGGCAATGAAAAGCATAAAGCAACAGCTCTGGTTCTCAAGGAAACAGTCATGAACAGCATCAAAGAAAGAGGTAGCTCTAACAAAAATTTCAAGGATTTTATTGAAAGGATAATTGCATAGGTAAATTCTTCATGCCTTGACCATGCTTGAATCTGTTTCCAGCTACAACTCTTTTCCTTCATTTAACTTGGAACCTCTTCTTTTCTTTTTTTTTTTTTTTCATAAATCATATGATCAACATTTGTATTTTGATATTAAATTCTTCTTGTTAAAACTATTGAACAGAAACAATGTATATATTTAATTATAAGCCAATAAGCATTCGAGGAAAGTCTCTAGTCATGCTAAACTGCTCAAGAAAACAGAGATTGCCTTCAACATAGTCTAATGTTCAAGTCCAAAAACCTGTTCGTTGGATAAAAAATATGAAATCGTCATCAATCTTTTTTACTTAAGTGTGATTGATCACTTATATGAATTTATTCTTTTTAAGGTTATCTTCAACTTGAATTAAGGTCATGTTTGGTACATTAGAAAATAGATAGGATAGTACGATAATAATTTTATATTATGTTTGGTTTCTATCTAATTGAAAGGGATGAGATTACAATGAAGATTATCATTCTCTTGGTATAGAATGATTTAATCCTCTCAAAATGGAGAGGATTATTTTTAATACATGGGATTAAAGTTATATGTTCTATTATATTCTTAAAAATTACATTAATAATTTAAATTGTATAATTTTGAGGAAGGATAATTTTGACTAATAAATAAATTATCCTTCTTAATCTTTGCACACATCAAATATAAGTTGGATGACATTATTTAATTTAATTATATTCATAATATTATCTTATTTTATCCTATCATAATCATGTATACCAAATATGACTTAAAGATCCCTAAAAAGAATAGGTTATGATCTAAATTAACAGAACTCAGTTTGGAAGTTGGTTACATGCAAAAAAGTATTTAACACCTCATTATGCCCAAAATTGATACCACATTAATCATATATTATCTTATTTAAGCCTTAATTCAAATAGTTTTTAATCCTTTTTTATTTATTTACAAAATATTAATTACAAAAAATGATATAAGCATATTTATAAGTTTTTAATCATAAAATAATATATATATAGATTTTAAAAAATATAATATAATTTTTATTTTCATCAATTAAACCAATAGGTAAAAAAAATAAAGTTGAAATAAAAAATAATAAAATTGAATTAAATAAATAAGTAAACAACTAGCAAAACAAAATAATTTCATAAAAAATTATTATCACAAATATTATCACAAACCACATTAAACAACAAATAAATATAACACCATAAAAGAAAATTTATCTAACCAATATTCTTGGGTTAACCTGAAATAAAACCTACTGCCAAGAAAATTTTTGTTTGACTTTGTTTGCTTGAATATTATATATATGGCTCTCTTTTTTTGCTTGGTGATTCTTCTTCTCCCTTTGATTAGGAACTTTTTCCTCAAAATTCAAAACTTTGTATTGCTTGATGATTGTTGATTGTGTTGCTTATTCTTTTGCTTCTTGATTCTTTGATTGTTGGTGATTTCTAATTGAGAATTAGGCTCTTTATATAGAGATTGAGTCCCTTTTCAATTTGAAATTTTTTTATAACAATTGCATCTATCAAAATCCTGTCAAAATTTCTTTTTCTTATTGTAGAAACTTGATTTTTAAGAATTACTAAAATTAAACTCAATCTTTAAATTTCAAATCCAAATAAAATCACAATCTTAAAAAAAAATTCTAAATTTATGTTATTATTTTTACCAAATAAAAATAAAAAACACATTTGGGCCATTAAATTTGGGCTTAAAAAATGACTTTTAAAACCCAATACTACAATTCAAGACCTAATAATATCAAAAAGACCTCGGACAAAATCATGCATCTACTGCTATCTCTCTTTACATATTTTCTATGAAATATAAATTGTACAATGACAAAAAACATCCATTTTGTTCAAGATAAGAAAAATAAAAGAAGGCACATACTT